ATTACTTACGGCCGGCAACCTTATAATGTTAAATCTTGTGATTTATAAACCGGACTGGGATCTTAATTGAAATGCAATTCTTTTCAAAAACCAAATTGCATGTTATAAATGCAGGGTGTGCGTACATTTCAAATTTTTACAGTACATAAACTTTTGACCATGTACGAGTTTGCCAGGGCGACCACCAAAAGTACAGGCACATGATAAGACATCACGGTCATTACTTAATTTATTAGAAAATTGTTAAATTGTATATCTTCTACATGCACTTATTGCTGTGAAAGTTTCTTAAAATATGTAACAAAGCAATATACTAATTATTAAGATATGGGAGTATATATAAATTCAGTATGGTACGGTGATTTGGCTAGTACTGTATGATACGATACGGTGATTATTCTTGTATAATCTGTATACTGATTTCTGGTAATCGTACTATATACTACGTATATTATATAATATATGTGTAATCAATAAATACTTCAGATAAATTAACTATATCAATGACATACCACAATCATACTGTATAAGAAAATGCAAATTGCAAATCTAAACCTTTTTTATCCAACAATTTTTTAAAAAAATAATAGATTCAAAATTAAAAATCAAAATCGATACGTTTGATACAAGTTTAAGAAATAACGATATTTCAAATTGACCTGAAGTAATTGTGCTATCTGATGCAGATGATGAGCCAGTGCTAGTAATTTTTAATTTTAATAATTATAACGATAAATTAATATTGTATAATGATAATAACCTTGTATTAAAGAAATCAGTATCGAGTTCATTTATTCAAAATTATGAAGTATTATTTGCATTATTGCCGTGGTTTGGTATTTGATCACAAATTATTTAGAAAAAAATTAACTAATGATTTCACGAATAGGATTTACAAATTTCTAGCAGCTCTGAAAGAGAATATAATAGTGACAATAATTTTAAATGATTATGTGTCTACGGATAATCTAAAAGATAATGATATATTTGAAAATAATTTGGAAAATGACAATAACTATGAGGTATAATGTAATAATTATCTATATAATTTAATATTAATGTGTATAATTTATATGTATGTAGTTAACTAATTACGGATCATAATTATGTAGCATCAACCAATATTTACCTAATTTGGTCACAATTTAACTGTCGATTAAGTCAAATATTACCTTGAGTTTCAAGAATATTCTAAAACTTCTGAAACTGGTGTCACTAGTATATACAATGTTTTTGGTTGGAAACCAGATGATGCTAAAAATGCTTTTAGAATTTCTAATATCCAATATGCTTATGGCGATTCTGGAACTATTTGATCAATTTAGAAATATCCATTTTTAGGTGTACCTGTTAAAAAAACTTACCGCTCATGCCTTGGTGTAAAAGTATGCGAATTTGGCTCAGCAACTCTCAATATTGAACATACATCAGTTAATTTTAAAGATCAACTTTATAAAAACATCTTCGATGCAAATGAATTTTCAGTTGATACATTTACTCTTAAGTAAGTAATAATATTTAATTTATAAATAATAATATGTAAATTTATTTACTATATTAAAATTTTTATTATAATTTTTAGCACATATAGTCAAGCTTATAATACACCATATTCTTATATTGATTCAATTACTAATATTCGCTGCAATGAAGTTTCTATTCTTAGAGAATATAAACAAGTATGTAGATACGTATGTAAAATATTAAATATATATATTTTTTAATTTAATAATTTCATTATTTTAGATTGATAATACATCAACGATTCGAAAGTTTATTGGATGCCAAAAATATCAATTCGGTCAAAAGGGCATCGTTATATTTCAATTAGTTAGCGTGCGAATATAGAATACCTTGAACAATTATTTCAAAATTATATATACTGTTCAAATGAAATTAACAGAAAGGTACATACATATATATTATTAAACAAATGTTTATTTATTATAAATATCTAATATTAATTTAATTATAGAATTATACAAATAAATCTGTTAATGAATATTTTATAGTTTTTCCAAATTCTTCTACAAAGAGCCATTATCGTGAGTATAATTATTTCAAATTAAGGTGCCTAGACTCATGCAAATTAAATTGTATTTTTAAAAATCTTTGATTATGTGAATTAAAAACAAATAGCAATAATAGTAACCAATTAAACAGCCAAAATTCAGCAGATTGACCAAATTCAAAAGTCAGAATAGGCTCTGAGCTAGGCTGGCATTAGACAATAATATTAAAGAACTATACTATAGCAAATTATTATCTAGACAGCTTTACTTTGTACATGGGTACCAATTTAACAGTAAAATTCAAGTGATTTTGGAAGAAATTTGTCAATTCCACGCCTATCCCAACTCTAAATTTTGGTTGACCTGCTGAGTTTTAGTTGTGTAGCTAATCTATTTTAAGCGATGATTATAATGCCAAACTACAAACTTTTTTTAATTGTTGGGTGTCAAATCTGATCAAATATTTTTATTATATTAATATTAGTCGATTTGCATTAAAAATTAATTTATATTTTATCATTTAATAGCACATCTTCATAAAACAGATACACAAGTTATGAGAGGAAAAAAGGATCTTGTCTTATGAAATTTTATCATATATCACCTAAAGATTTAACTAAATACCCATTTATTGTAATAATCTTAATTGGTGTTCATAATCATCCACCTCCACCTCCAAATAAAACTCTATTTAATATAATCAAAAATTTGCAGAAGATTATTGAGAAAAAATATGATTTGAGTCTTACTACATGACAACTTCTTACAAGTAAGTATTGATATTATTATTTACAATATTTAATTCTATTTTATATTAATAAAAAAATTCATTTTAATAGAACTGATGCTAAAAATATATCTTCAAGGACAACCATTAAGTAGCCTTCATCTATCGTTAAATAATCAATCACGTCTCACTTATTTAATTGAAAAAAATGCATTTACGGAATCTGTGCTTAGTTATGCATAATGTAGATCATGTATAACATATTGTACTACCGTTACAATAAATCTTCGATTGAGTTAGCTTATATGCTAATACAAAAATTATATTTTACACATCATATTATTTTTGAGTAGATTGGTCAATATCGATATAGTGTC